AGGGGATGCAGAGCCAAAGCATAGCCAAAGATTAAGGGAGCAGAAATAGCTGGGGCTTGCTTTGCAGGGAACTAAAGACGTCTGTGCAACCATGCCCTAACCTCTGAAGCAATCGGAGTCTGCTGGCCCAGCTGATTTGCCCTGCAATAGGGTAGGGAGTGTTCAAACAAGTATATCCAAATCAGAGGGGTGGTAACCTAGAGCAGGGCGATGCTCCCCAGCCTCTGGGCAGACTGGGGGAGGACTCTGCTGTCAACACAGCTGGACTGGGGAGGAGATGTGTGTCCACAGACAGATCCGGGCACTGCCACAGCCCAAACCCGTCCTGCGTGTGCTTTGCTGCCCAGAGCACCGTGTTCCCGTGTGCCTCTGGTCCATCAGCATTTGGATAACAAGCATCCCTTCCAGGGGAGGCAATGGGCATACCTGAGAACTTCAGGAGAAGCCATGGGCACATCCAAACACTGCGTGCCCTCATTTTATCTGGACAGATGAGGGTATTTAACCTGGAAAGAGTGCTCATGCCTCTTGCTGGAGTTCCTGGCTCTGAGCAGTGTGAGTTACAGAAATGAGGGGGTTAAGGTTTCATTTTCCAAAATGGATGCACGTTTTTTGTATGTACATCCCTGTATCTGAGATGGAGAAACTACTTGACCGTAGCCTGAATATTCCAGTCATTATGCTAAGTAATTCTCTTCTACTGCCACTAGAGGTATAGCATTCACTTGAGCAAATAGCAAAGGAAACATGCAGTTGGAAGCCTTGCCTGCATTAATATTTCATTTTTCCAGCAGTGTTTTTGATCTGGGGTGGCTTTGGAGACCTCAGCCTACTTCCCCTGTTCCTTTCGGGCAGCCTTGCTTGAACTGCAGCTGGCTACTCAGGAGATGAAATGCCACTTTGTGATGAAAGGGGACAGGATTGAGTGCTCATTTAAACTGCATAAAAAGCTTAAGTGTAGTATCAGCCATTGTATCAATCACTTGTGAGTGCCTCACGTGCGAGCTTGTACCAACACATTTGTAAGTCTCATTGCACATGCTTGTTGCTCTGGAGCAGATTTACATTCATTCAGAAATGCCAACATAACAAAATTTGGTTTAAATTCATTTCCTTTGATTTTGGGGAGTTAATGAACAATTCTCACATATAAGCACCCTTTGGAGACTCCTGAAAACCTCAGGGAGGGTGAGGATTATGATGAAACTCCCCCATGTCCCTGTGCTGGCAGGACAGCTGCTGCGTGACCTGGGCTGTAATTGCAGCCCTGCAGTGCCTACGCAAGCTGTGAGCAGTACACATGTACCCTTAGTACCATCAGGTATGGAGCATAGCCACAGAACCAGACTGGTTTGTGTTGGAAGGAACCTTAAAGCTCCTCCAGTTCCAACCCCTGCCATGGCAGGGACACCTTCCAGTAGAGCAGCTTGCTCCAAGCCCCTGTGTCCAACCTGGCCTTGAACACTTAACTTGAACACTTCTGTGAAGTTTAGTTTGTTCAAGGTGTGATAGATTGGAAATGTCTGCTTTCAGTTAGACTCTACTGCACAGCAGCCTGGTACACACTGTGTCTGTGGGTGCTGTGCTGCCTGTCACAGCAAAATGGTTTTGAAGGGAAAATACTGGAACTAGACACCAGATGCTCATAGGATTTTTGTCGTCGTCGTGTTCCCCCCCCCCCCCCCCAATGAAATGTTTGAAGCATTTAATTACAGTAAAAGTGGGCTTTTGATGGGAAAGGTGTTTCCAGCAGAAGTGAAGCACGGATACTCAGAAAACCTCTGGCCTAGTGCAGCCTTCGGGTTGCCCCTATCCGCAGTACAACGCTAACAGCACAATTCACTATAGACAACGTATATTGCACTTGGTGTGTTCTTATCTTTAATTTCTTTCTACTCTGTAGTGATGCTGATAAATTCACTGCAGTCTTATTACCCTCAGAAGTAATTTCCGACTCAGAGAAGCAGTGTACAATTGGGATAGTCTGGATTATGTTAGGATAAGAGACGATAAAAATCAGAACCACTGAATTCATTGCGAACAGCACCAGTCTGACCTTACTTCTGCCCTATATACAGCCACTAGCAAGGCTGTGCCATTTATTTACAGCTTCCCCCTCTTACACACACAGTCCGGGGCAGTAAACTGGATTGCAGGAGTATTTCACAGGAGCAGTTGCATTCACACTAACGTTTCCAACATGCTTCCTCCCCAGATCAATGAAGATGGGTGGCAAGGTTTTATGCTTTGCCCACAGTTTTGACAACTCTTCCCAATGGCTCAGTTTAGTGTCAAGTCGACCTTTATGGTATTCACAGTTACATAAAAAGGATGAATGAGCAACAACAAAAGAGGAAGGCTGGGATCATATAACCTTGAAAGCTGGAACTGCCTGCATTTAGACTTTACTGTTTGGGAGGGAGACAGCACTGGAGGGTGGTGAAAGCTCATGGCTGTAAGGAAACAGAGGTTCTGCTCTACATTCTCTCTGTTACCCTGTGTAAGTCGTTTAAGACCCGACTGCAAAAGTCACCCAACTGAAATGGAAAAGGCAGAATGTAAAGTTGTAACCAATAAGCCAGACTATGCCCATGGGTGAAGAGGAGGAGGATGCAACAAAAGGGATTTGCATGGACAAGAGTGCCTTTAGCTCCTACTGCTCAGACTTTGATTTCTCCCTCAGTGAATGTGAATGAACCACTCACACCAAGTGAAGCATATTGGGTACGGGTTAATCTATACGACTATTAACAGCTGGGTTTAATATTTGCCACTAAAGCAAAATATTGGAAAGTAACAGGACAGCATCGCTGCTTCTGTCTTGCTCGTTGTTTATGCTCCCCCCTTTAGTTTCTGCTGAGGTACAAAAGGCTTGATTTTCACACAAACTAATACTTTAGTTATTGCTAAAGCTGTCTGACATGCCCATACCTGTGCCTGGGCAGAAGGGTTTCACTTTGTTCTGCTCCTAAACCAGATCTGAGCTCATTTGGAGAGCGTCTTTCCACCTTGGGTTTAACTGCACCTTCTTCCCACCTTGCTCTGCAGGATTTTGGGGTGGATATCTGGGATGTCTTAAGCCACTGGATAAAGTTTGTATCCCCTTAAGGGAGCAGCAGATAGCCCCGAGCCTTTGAGGCCAGGAATTCATACTTCCTTCACTGGGTTCTCTGAAAATGGCCATGTTTGTCCCCCCCTCCCAAGCCTCAGAAGGAAAGGGAACCTGTTGGGGAAGCAGCAGGTTGGCCTCGATGCTGCTCAAACTCACTGGGTTTGGTTCAGGCGCTGTACCTGAGGCCTGCCTGCTTCTGCTTCTGATCGTCCTCAAACACCTCCAGAACTACCAGTGCAGAGTTTGCTGAAGCAGTTTGCTTCCAGTTTCCATAACTTGGCAGCAATGGACAGTTGTGTTTTCGGAGGGAGGGCTGGGTTTCTCTGTGTTTGTTCCGTATGTTCTCTGTATGTTTGTCTTATGCTCGTTCTTGGTTTGGGACTTTTTCTGCTATTGTCTGTTAGAATTTGGTTTATGGCCCGTGTGACACAGGGGCTGATGCTGAAATCCTCCCATGTCTTTTGGAAATGCAAGAGAAGCAATTCCCAGCGCGTGTGGCAGGAAATCTGCATGTTCCTATGAATAAAAATGAAGATGAAAGCAGGGTGTGTGGGAAGACCTGGTTGTGACAGAACCTTTCCCAGCTGCTGTCTTGGTTGGAGAGCAATCACAAAAAGAGGATTTTTTTACCAAGCTGGTTTAGATCCTTGTAAGTGGGTTTTGGCAGGAGGCAGGACGTGGCCAGTGCCAGCTGCCTTGCTGAGTTATGTGTATGCTCTGTACCACTGTAAAACTAATGATGAGGCCATGATGAAGAAATAAACCTCAGTAGGAGAGAACAGTCAGCAAACCCCCAAAGCTCACTGTGTGCAAAGAGTCCCGTCCCCCGGACGGGTTTGCTTTGCTTTAATGATGGGAGGGGAAAAGCATTGGATCCAGACAGCAGGCTTAGTGCAGACCTGGCCTCTGGAATTAGATAGCACTCTTGCCTATCACCTGGGAAAGGAGCAGCTGAGTGTACCGCTTCAAGCCAGGCAGCTCTGTGCAGTGTGTGTGTCAAGGAAAGCTTTGGGAAAGATAAGATTCTCATGTTGTACTTTGACAAGGAGTCGCAGTGACCGAGGAGGCTCCATGTTCCCCTCGCAGCCAGCACAGCAGTTTTCCATGGCGTTGCTGCAGCACTGCCCTGCCTCTTTTTATTGCCCTTTGCCACATCACCACCTCCTGTAGCCAGGGGTGCTGGGGATGTGCCAGTCCTGCGGCCCAGAGTTGAAGGAACAGCTTCCAAAGGGACAGTTTTCTGAGTCTCTTCAAGTCAGCTGCAGCTCCAGATGGGAAGGAAAAGTCCAAGCTGATGACAGATATCCTGTGCTGCTTCTGTTTGAAGGCAGTAAATGAGTAAGGAAAACATTATGGCTGTATGTGGTGTGCAGCAAGGCTTTGAGTTTACCTACCTTCCAGCCCTCCACATCTCCCTTATTTGCCCAGAGGTTTGCAAACACAGCCATGGGAGGGTTGCAGGGGTAGCTGGCCGGCAGCCTGGACTGTACTAGCAAGGAATTCACTGGCAGGAGCTGCACCCCACATAGCTGCTGCAGGTGCTGTCCTCTCCCTGGGTCCAGAGCCTGGCTTCCTGCACACAGGAATGCTGCCCCTTCAGCCTGTGATGCACAGGGAGATGTGTGGGTATCACTATGAGATCAGAAGTCTCTCTATATCCTGTCTGTTGCTCTGCCAGTGATGGCAGGCAGGATTCCTTGGATTTCAGGTCCTGCTGCCCTCTTGGCCTTGTTACAGATGAATCCTTGGTTGTCAAAACCTGGGTGGAGTCACAGCTTTGTATGCCTCTGGTTAACCATTTCAGGACTGCTGGGCCTGAGGCTGCCCAGCATCAGCTGCTGATCTGAGTTCAGCCGAGTGTCAAGTGGTTGGTATCTCTGAGAATGAAGCTCCATGTGCCCCAGGTTGGAGTGCCTAGAGCTGGAATACCCCCAGGCAAAACCCATGAACTGGATGCCTGTGTTGTACTGAGGTGCTCTTTGAGAGGTGAGGCTAATTTCTGTGTTCTTGCTGCCATTCTGAAGCGTTGTACCTTGATGCACAGAGATCTTAGGAAGTTCTTTGTTTTTTAAGTAGTGTGGGTGCTACATACCCTCTAAACCAACAAAGTTAACTCCTGGTTTTGTGGTCACTTTGGGTCTGTCACGGACGTGATTGAGGTAAGCTCCTGCTATGTGTATCAAAGGGTAATTTATGTTCTCAGTTTATGAATTTATGCATCTTGTGTAGCTGTGGCTCTTCCTAAAGAACAGTTGGAACCATGTTAGAACTGTGCTTCCCTCTGCCTGTTTTTCTTATAATGTATACACTTCTTATATACACTCTTATTTGCACTACTGCTTTCCAAAGCGTGTTTTCCTTGTCTTGTTCCCATACATCCATTCTCCTGCCATGTTAATTCCTCCCCTGTTTGTGCTTAACGTGTGCGCGCACTGAGGAGAGCCGAGCACCTGGAGAGGGGCAAAGGGGCTGTGAGCTCTCGGTAGGGCACTCTAAAGCATTGGCACAGAGATACTAACCCTTGAAGGGTACAGTGCAGTGCCAGGAGAACCACCTTAGCAGGACTGCTGAATGACTTAGCCCCCTCCCTGCCTTAGTGCAAGTATGCCACTTGTCTTAATGTGCTCCAAAGTGGAGAATACAAGTACTGTGGAAACCCTGAGTCACGAGTAGCTCATCGCACATTACCACCGTGCTGGGCTGTCACTGGGCTGCTGTGGTCTTCCCCCTTCAGTTTTTAATGCTGTTTCAGTTCTTGTCTGTATGTCAAGTCTGTGCCCAGCCCTGATCACCCACCACATCCTTTTCCCTCCCCTCTGCTCTGCTGCTTTCTCTTCTCTTTCTTTCCTGCCCGGCTGCTGGATGGTGAAGGGGGGAGCAGGATGTGTGTGTTGGGAGGAAAGGGGAGATGGCAGCTGGGGGGTGGAACAGGGTAGTGCTGCTGGGGGTTGACAAGCTGCCTGCCCTTGGCTCATGTTGTGCAAGGCTGGAGAAGTGTTGGGGTGACGAACGAGCGTGTTATGACATGGGGAAATCGCTGGCACCCACTCCCACTTCGGCTGGCTTTTCCTTGCAAACACAATGGGTTGAGCTGAATAGGGAATAATTGAAGTTAGAAAATGTTTCTGACTCTGTTCTGAAATTGTTTGGAAGAGAACTGGCATTATTATAGTCCTGTTTAGTTTGTAAAGGCTGGGCATAGGCAGAATGGGAAATTCTTGCCTGCTGTAAATGCTGCACACACCATCTTTTACTGCAGTTACTGGTTTTTAAAGTGAAAACGAGTGACTTCAGGGTGGAGTTTCTGTTTTTCCTGTTTGTGTGTTTGTTTTGGTTGTGCCTGAGGTTAACTGTTACTTGCGCTTGGCTGTGGGGAGCAGGGTTTGGGTTAGCTTCTCTCTCTTTTCTTGTAGATAGTAGCAGATTATTACTGGGGACTGGGAAGCTTTTTGGGCAAGAATAGAGGACAGCTGCATTTTCTACCCTTTAAATACAAGATACACAAGCTACAATGAAATAGCAAACTATAGGATTAAAATTTCCCTTGTTTAAGCTCAGATTTGCACTTCAGTAGCTAATGTGATATTCTCTCGCTGCACAATTGTAAGTGTGGTTGCTCTGGGGAAAATGGGGGTGGAAGGGTTGGATTGCAGAGCTCTGCCAGAAGCATCTCTTGCTCCAAGAAGCAGAAGAGCTGAGCAGAAGGATGCAGAGGACTGTGCAGTGCTCAGCGCTGATGGGCAGCACCCGGCCTTGCAGCTCAGTTCTCAACAACAGGAACTGCCACACTGGTTCCAGGAACAGATGCTGAGCGATGAAGGCCACAGACTCCTCTTGACTTGGTGTCTCCTCCCAGCTCTGGGAAATCAGCTGAGTAAGGGTTTGAAAACCCCAAGGTTTCACCTCCGCTCCTGTGTGTGTTTGCTGTTGAGCACAGTCCCCCATGCATTTGTTTAATGCCTTTTAGAATCCATTTTCAGGCTCTGCAGCCTCCTGAGGCACCGACTGCCACAATGCAATTATGGACAGTATGAAACTACTTCCTTTTGGGTGTGTTTGCTTTAAACCTGCTGCTTAATGACTTTGTTGGATGCCCCCTCAGAAAGTGAACAATTATTCAGCATGCTACAGACTGCTGCCGTGTCCCCTCTGCAGGCATCTCTATTCCTAACCAGAAGAGTTCTTGTCTGTTTAATTCCTTCTTCTAGTGAAGCTGCTCTGTATCTCAAAGATAAGTGTGGGGTTTTTATTACTTCTCTCTTTCCTCTTGGACAAAAGCGTCAGGAAAACCTTATCATAGTTAAATGATTCTTTGGGCCCTCTTTGTGCCAAAATAATTAGTTTTCAGCTCCTGGAAATTACCAAGAGCTTCCGAAAGGAAGGGAAAACTTTGTTCTTGTACTGCCCTTCAGTTTGAGGTTGCATTCATATCCCAAACTAGGTAAGAGCATGCAGCAAGTAAACAGGAGAAGGGTCTGGATACGAAGTTCTCCTTTGCTGCCAACAAACCTCCCAACTTAATACACACAAATCGAGTGAGTGCAAGGAAGTGACAAAATGGGGACCTGAGAGATCAGGAAGCTCAGTAATTGAGTCAGTACTGAGCAAGGTCAGCAGTGCTGAACAGGAACAAAGATAGTGACTGCAGACAGAGTGGAGTTTGGTGTGGGGTTTTGTTCTGCCTAGTCCAGAATAAGCACAGTGTTTTCTATCATGTGTAACTCTTGAGAGAGAGGAGTAAAAAGGGTTTTATTTAAAAGGCTCCCATCTGGCATAAATACCCCATTGGAGAGAGGGAAATGCAAATCTCAGATCCAGGAGCAAGCATCTGCAGGGAACTCCTCGCTGCCCATTCTGTCTGGTGCAGCTCTTCCACCTTGTGCCCTTTGTTCCTGCCCTGTCACACTGGAGCTGACTCCTCCAGCCTCTGCACACCAATTTCTTGCTGCTGTGTCTCAGTTTTAGGGTTTCCCATCTGCACTGCTCTGTCTGCTCCTGCCATCTCCTTCTTTTCACGTCACTGCACAGGGAGCTGGTCGTGCAAGATGAGGTCGTGTCCCTGCCTAAGCTCTTCCTGGCAAGAACCCCTACCAGATACCTCAGGAGATGAGCCTTTGCTTCCTCTTCTTCATTATTTATCTAGAAATGAAACACCCAAACAACCAAAGGGCACCTACTGAGGAATGAAAGGATGGTTTACATTCTCCTGTGCTTTCTGCTGAGTTCCCTTCCCATCTCACAGTGCTGCCGGGGCCTTCCTCTCCCATCCCGCCTTGCTGGCTTGTTACCACCCACCCATTAGATCATGTCTGAAATTAGCTGGTGACAACTCCAGGGCAGGGTTGGTTTCTCTCTCCTCCTTAGCAAAGGCTTGGCGCAGTTTTGAGTGGGTTTGCAAAAAAATAGTGAAAACCAACGAAATAAGCCCTTGTGCAGCAGAGGAAACCAAGGTGGGAAGGATGGGTGCCTGGGGGAGGTGCTGGTGAAGGTCTGGTGCAGAGAAAGCAAGAGCTCGTGGCATCAGAGCTTGTGCTCAAAGTAGATAGTTCTGTCCACTGTGCAAGAGTGGATATCTTGAATAGTCATGATGATGAAATATTGGATTCACTGTGGGGGGGGATAATGTTTTGACATAAATGCTTATGATAAAACACAACACTTCTATTGCACAGTGGTTTCTGTAGTAGCTTTGGGGGTTTGGGGCAACTAAATGATGATAAAATAGACATACTGATGCATGCAAGTGTTCAGTCTCAGTAAGATGATGATGATCTGTTAAGGTGATGTTGGAAACGTTAACATTCATCCCTACATAACACATTAGAGTTCCAGTTCAGAACCAGTAACTTGATTTTAGGTGCTCTCAGCAGGGAGTTAACATCCCATAGAGTGCTGCCCCTCCATATTTTGGAGACTGTCCCTTTTTCGAGATGCAAGGTGATGCCAGCAGGGGACAGTGGGTGTTCCTGGGGGAGGGAAAAGATGCTGAGGGCTGACGAGTGACTTGCAGATCCCAAACTGGAATGCTGAAGGCTCCCTGAGACTCGCAGCAGGGCCTGGGCTGCTTTGGATCAGGCACAAGCAGGATGTAGAGTGCATGGTCAGGTTAGATAAACTTTCTCTGTGGGACATACTTTGAACTCTGGGAGGCAGAATTTCTGTTGCAGGCAAACCGCATACATAGTGAATAATCATGACTGTGTCCAGAAATGAAAGAGCCAAGTGTGGCTTTCCCTTCATGGTGAATCCTGTCAGTTAGAGCAGGTCCCCAGCCTGCACGAGTGTTCTTTGTCATAAAAGAAATGCTGATGGGTAATAGATTAAGCAATGGTAACTTCTCACTATGTGGCACAAATGTGACTTTCCTAACCAGGCTCTGTTAGCTCCAGTCTATTTAAAGCTGTGTGTTCAGGTGTCAGTTCTGGTAAGCATACAATGGGTTTAGGACCTCCTCACAGAAACACAGGCAGAAGGATGTAGTTTTCCTCAGAAGCAGCAATATTTTTAGCCTGTCTTTATATTTTTACCTTGTAGAATGTAATAAAAGCCAAATCCTGCTACTTTGCACCTTCATTTAATTCATATTGTTGCTTTCCACATGGGTAATACTTTGGATTATTATATACTTTTTTTATAATGCCTTTCATCCAGAGATCTCAAGCTGATTTGGCCTGATTCCCAGGTACAGCTTAGCAACACTTAGCATAAGACCAGTAAAAGGAAGTAAGAGGGAGTTTCAGGCACTTCTTGGCTGGCTGTCAATTCAAATGCACCTACAGGTTGGAGCATCCCCGGCCCCTGAGCCCCCGCTTCCTGTGCCTGTGGCTGCTGGGTGTGAGGTTGTCGCAGTCAGAAAGCCCTCTCCTTTTCCTTTCTCCTGCCCCCCAAACAAGCTGGTCTCTCCCAGCATTTATAAGAGAGAGGGGACGTGACTTTATATGGGGAGAACTTGGTGGGATGTGTAGGGGGGACCCACCCCATTAATCTGCTGTTATTTTGTTGTCTTATCACAAAGATGCACTAAGTCAAAGCCACTTTCAGTTCTGTATTTCCCTGCATGTGTATAGGCATGTGCAGTGTTAACTTCTTTTCCTCATCTTTGCATTTAGAGTAACTCAGTTCTGTTTGCTGTATTTACTGAGGTGGTTTCAGTTTCTTTTTCAGTTGCCAGAATGTTTTTAAAGCTTTTATTCTGAATGTTGTTTCTTCTTTGGAGAGGCTGTTGGACTTTGGAACCAGCTCTTATAGGAAAAGCCTTGCCTGTCTGGAAATCTGCTCCAGCTTGGTTTGCTGTTCAAAGTGCTGCTTCCGAGGTTCATTTTTATGTCTCCTTGGAGGTATTTTGTCAGAGCACTGCTTATCTACCCTTACTGCAAAATGATCCACCATCTTAGCTAACCACTCACTTCCTCACCCCCTGCTCACCGGTCTTGAAAGCAAAAAGGGAATCAAACGGTGTCTGCTCTTGCGCAGTGATCTGGCTTCACCTTTGGACCATGGGCAGCATTAGCTGGGCTCACATAAAAACCTTGCAGAAAGAGGAAGGAGACTGTGCCGTACACAGCAAAGGGTTAACCCGTGTGTTGAGGAAAGGGGGAGAAAATCAGGCTCTGGCGGGACTCTGAGTTGCCCTGGATTATTTTCCTGTGCATACAGCTTTCTCTTTTTGTGGTTAAATATGACGGTTACAGTGTAGCACTTATGCACAGTCAGTAACTCAGCACAAAACATGCTGTAGTCAGGGCATGTATCTGTAGCCTGTTCCTTCTGCTGAAACTGGAATTCTTGCATTCACTGCAGCCTGGGTAAAGAAACTGAGGTGCACATCTCCATGGGAGACTTACACAAACTCCAATGGCCCTCAGTGATGTTGGATTTGCACCTCAGCTCCTGCTTCTGCCCTCCAGGCTGCCAATGCAGCCTCCTGAAAGGCACCAGAAAGGCAAGTTTTGGCTCAGGCTCCCAAACTCTTGCTTGTCTTTTGTGGAATGACTGCAAGTGAAAGGGGCAGGGATCTTTAAGGGCTGAGTCACGATTTTGTGGAAGTTTGTCGTGTAGTTACAAAATCACACACACAAAAAGAAAGTGCTGCTGAGCAATAGCCTGGAAAACCCTGCTTTGCTTTTATTCCTTCATTTCAGAAGGGGCTGTGTGACACTGGCAGCCTTTTCTGCTGTCTGGCTTAAGAGCAGCTGGGGGCTGGTGGGTGAGAATATTTAGCCCTGATGCAGCACGCTATCAAAGGACTTGAATTTGCTCAGCTTCTGCCATCTTCAATGTAACTCTGTATTCTCACTCTGCCATAGAGTCACTGTAAAGGAGAAGGTATTATTTAGCACAATTTCCTACCTTTCATATACAAATTCTTTATGTAAATAGGGGATTTCATCTTTTTGAAAGGGACAGTATAGATCTATGGCTTCTGAATCCTCACTGTGGTGTTGAAAACTGCATCTTGTGTGGTGCAAAGCAAGTCCCTCAGCTCTGATGGCAGCCCCTTTTGTTGTGTGATAAGGATAATACTTCCCAGCTCACAGGATGGATTAGTCAGTATTTTTATAGTGGTTTAACAGTGACCATTTCTGCTGTGGCTTGAAGCCTTTTAAATCAAGCAGGAAAGTCACCAGGGCAGCTGTATTACAAGACCAAGATAGGGAGCCACAGAAGCAGAGGGAGGTTTGAAGGGTTTAGCTGTTGATCCAGATTGTAAGGAGATAATTTCTGACTAAGGTATCAAGTATGCCCCAAATTCAGGTGCTAATCAGTGCAAAGCTGACCTCCTTCAGTGCCTAAAGGAGCATGGCTAATGGCTCACAGGTATATTTCTTGTTCAGGTCAGAAAGCAGCTAGGCGAGGGATAAAATAACAGATGAAGCAATAGAAAAGCTTTAAGAAGAAAGGAAGATTGTTAAAGCTAAAATCCTGTTAGAGGCAACAGCTTAGATTCTAAACTGTGTTAGGACAAGGAACAGAAAAAATAGCAACTTATCAGCGCAACAGGGAAAACCACCAGTGATCTGTTTGGTCAGAAACTGACGGTAATTATTCTCCCAGAATTATGTTCCTTTTTACTGTGGGATAGACTATCTACATGGGAACTATCTCAAAACAATTACAGGAGAGCTTAATCTGCAGTGGCTGTTCTGATTAATTTCCCCACAGAGAGGGTTTCTTTCACTTTTGCAGCTGAAGGAATGTAGATGAGCATAATTTCAACTAAAAGGCAAGAAAAGTTTGAACTTTACAGATGTAACAAATGCCTGCTGCTGTAGCTGCCAGGGAACGAGCACTGCCAACACAAATTGTATGGAGGAGCAGTAAAGGAGCACTCGCCCTATCTGCATTCATGGACATTAGCAACCATGGGGTCTGTTAGTTTCAGGAATAAAGGAAGTCTCATTAAACCTAACAAATGTCTTGCACTGTGCCCAGAAGAACTACTAGACTTCAGCTCTGGTGGTGTCCAGCAGGAGCAGGCTGCAAAAGCCAAAATCCTCAACAGAGAAAGAGGGAGAGTATGCGAATCTTGCCTGCTGCTGCCCTTGGAAAGGTCAGCCTCCGAAACAGGAAACAAGAGAATTTCATCTTGACCTTTAAATACTGTGTTTGGATGAGAAATGGCTTTTAGGTATCTGGCAGTCTGGAATAATAAAATAACAACTATATGGTGAGGGTATGAGCTTCTAATTGTTCAGCATTTCATAGAGCCTGATTGAGGACGGTGTAGGACGCGGGGCCTTCAGGTTGCCAGTTGGAATTGGCTGAGGTCAGCTGGAGTTAGAAGTTAGCCTCTGATCTCATCTGGTTGCTGTGAGGGAAATGCATAGGTGGCCTCATCAAGCTGTCAGCACTGGGACCTAGCTGAATTAGCTGGCATCTTCTACCAGTAGTGTAGTTTCCATTCAGTCCCTAGCAAATCTATTCCTACCCAGGAGTTCTCTTCCTAACATGCAGCAGTGTTTGTATCCGGCATCTGCATTTTTGTCTTGCTTTATAGAGATTTGAGTCCTGTTTCTTTCAGTCTGGTGCCACTCCTATGCACTAATCACTTGTGTAAAAGTATTTATCCGTTTATCCACCCTGGCATCTCTGCTATGATGGTTAAAATTCAGCAGCCCTGATCACAGTTGTACTTGCACATACGCAGCTTATGGAGGGGGCCTGGAATCTCCGAGTTTGACAATGTTTGTTTTCAAAATGAGCTGCTCTTCATCTATGAATTTATCCACTTTTGGTTCACTAAAAATAATTTGCTTGTGTTGCATGAAAAATATTTGCAGAACCTGGGATTTTTTTGAAATACCATCTTCTAAAGCTAACATTGAGACTTGCCACTGTCCTGTATTCGGATGTTGGGGTTTCTTGGTGACAACAGGGACAAGTACACCCCTGAATTAAATGAATCCACATCTGATCATTTAATCCAGATGGATCACGATATCTTTAGAATATTTGTATTTCAAAATGCTTTGGATTTTAGAATTAATTGTGGTGGTGTGGAACAACAGCATTTCCCAAGTGCTTCACAGAGTGAAAACTCCTTGCCTGTTGCTCAAACAAACACTAAAATAACATGTGGAAAAAGCCTTTGGGTCTAAAAGCGTTGGAAAATATTATCAGTTTCTTAATTATTGTTTTAAGCTGAGATTCACATTGTCAGTGCTGCTTTTGTGTGTGTTGGATTCGGTCCTGGAAGCAAACAAGCATTCAGGAGCAGACATGGAGCTGAGTGTTTCCTCGGTCTCACTGCATTTACCCAGCCAGGAGCATGCAGGGGCCCGTCCCAGCACTGCCTCATCACAGCTCAGCCCTCCCGTTTCCCCTCGGAGCTGGACACCAAGATCCTGTCTTTCAAATGGAGACTTTCATTATCCTTACCTGAGTGGTAGGGTAAAGAAAGGGTTTTTACTTCTCAGACATGTGAAAAATGGTGGAGATGTGTGAAAGGAAAGCCCTTACAGTGAAACTGGAAGTTGTCCAGATATCAGTACATTAAACTGTTCAGAGAACCAGCTTGTCACCAGGAGAGAGACTCTCCTGTTGGAGGTAAGGAAATCTCCATCTACTCCATCTCAGTAACACCATGCTGCCGTTAGCGTTTGTTGTTGCCCTTCTGAACCTCCCGTTGCTCCGCACTTTTTTTGTTGGCTAAAGCATGCAATGGGCTCTATGCCAGTGCCTGAGTTCAAAGCACAGCCCTATGTTTTCCCAGTCTTCTTGCGTTGTAACTCAATGGCTTTCTAATCCATTCCCTCCTGCTTCCAGACAGGTGAGACACTGCTTTAAGGCCCTGACACCATTTGTGGTGTGAAGTAACAACTTCCCTACCTTGGTCACTGCTGTGAATGCTCCATCCCTGGCGGTGTTCAAGGCCAGGCTGGACAGAGCCTTGGGTGACATGGGTTAGTGTGAGGTGTCCCTGCAGAACTGGCTGAGCTTAAGGTCTTTCCCAACCCTATTCTATGATTACTATGCAGGATGAGGCAGTGGGGCTTGAGAGTACTTTGTTTCCAACGTGTTGCCATCCTGCCTTCACCCAGGTACCACGAGGCGTCCTGTCTGTGGAGACGGCCCTTACCTGACCGGGAACAACCCCATGTGGAGCGCTGAGGACTCAGTGCTTCAGCGCACCCTGAGGTACAGCCCCGGAGCGATGATACCGCCGGGGGACGAGCCGAGCTGCTTCGCTCGGTCCCTAGGGGCCAACCCACAGCTCCCCTCAGCCCCACTGGGGCCCCCCCATCGAGGGTAGGCCGCGACGGGCAGGTGTGAGGCGGCGGCTCGGCCTGTGTGGTGACTCAGCGGCGGGCCGGTTACCGTGAAGCCGGCAGCAGTGTGTGTGCGGACCGCGCTCCATCCGCATCCGCATCCACACCGTGAGGCGGCGGCGGCGGCGGCCGGACCGCCCGCTCTCCCGCCCCGCGGAGCCCCTGAGGCGAGGGGCGGGGAACCCCGCAGAGGGGCGGAGCGGAGTGACAGGTGCGCGCGCGCGCGGAGGAGTCCCGCGGCGGCGCGTCCCTCACCCCCCCCCCACCCCTCCCCTCCACCATGAATATGCAAATGCAGGTATAATTGCCAGCCAATGGCGTGCGCGCTGGTCACATGGTGCTGGTGGAGGCTCAGGGAAGAGAAGTTGGGTCTCGGTGAGCGCAGGCAGCGCCGCGACCAGCAGCAGTCGGAGCCGCAGCCCCAGCGAGCCGGGCAGGGCGGGCGGGCGGCCGGGGCAGCGAGCCACACAGCCGCTCCCCGCTCCCTCCTCCCCGCGGGGTGCCCGGCGGGCCGGGGGCTCTGCCTGGACCATGCCGATCCTCCTCTTCCTCATAGACACGTCCGCCTCCATGAACCAGCGGGCGTATCTGGGCACCAGCTACCTGGACATCGCCAAGGGCGCTGTGGAGATCTTCATGAAGGTGAGCGCGGGGCCGGGGCGGGGGAACCGCCGCCGCGGTCGCCCCGTTCGCCCGCTCACGCCGCTTCTCTCCGCTCTCTCTCCGCAGCTGCGGGCCCGGGACCCGGCCAGCCGCGGCGACAGGTACATGCTGGTTACCTTCGACGAGCCGCCCTACTGTATCAAGGTAATAACCCCCCCGCGGCCGCCCCGGCCGTCCCGCGGCCGCCCCTGCGCCGCGGTGGGGCCGCCCTCGGCGCGGTGGCGGCGCGGCGCAGCCCTGTCCAGCCCGGCGGCGGCAGCAGCAGCCTGTGAAGATGGCGGACATTTTGCTTTTGTATGGAGGAGAGAGGCTGAGGGCGCTGCTGAGATGGAGGAGGGGGGGGGAGGAGACGGACGGGAGCGTGATTCACCGCCCCGGCGTGCCGAGAGGGGCGGGCCCCCGGCCGGCCGCGCTCCGCCTCCCGCGCCCCTGCTCGCTCGCCTCCCGTGAGGCGGCGGCTCCGGCGGGGGCCGCGCCTCGCCTCAGCCGCGGGGTCGCTGCGGGGCACGGGGTGAGGGCGGGAGGCAGCGCCCTCCTCACGTCCGCGGGACCCGTCCGTTGCGGGACGGAGGCACCCGCGAGTGTTTTCCGCCAGCAGCGGGGTTGGCGTTTCCCTTCCTCCGTACTCCTGCAGCGCTCTGAAAGCCGCACCAGTGTTGGCCAAGGTGCAGTGTTGTGGTGAGGGGGAGGCTGACTGCGCTGTCCCTGTTTTCTCATGCCTCGACACTGAGGCAAGTAGGGCCATGCCGTTTATCACGTCGGCTGCACCACGAGGTTATGGCAAGAGGAAGAGAAATCGGGGCTCTGTGTCCCTTGTTACTGTAGCCTTCACCTTGCCGATAGAAACATCTAACTTCAAATGTTTAAATAAAGCATGCCACGGAACACATAATTGCCATGGGAGCTTTAGAGTCCTTCTGGATTAGGACTTCATTTGCCATGACTAACATAGTAGTTATAATCGTTGGCCTTGGACCCATAAGTTTGAAGGCTAAAGAAGTTCATGTAAAAATGTGTTGCTGTGCATCCCAGCGAATAAGAACAAACCTCGTATAGATCCCCCAGCTAAAACTTCTTGAAGAGCGCTCCTAACCCCCCCCGTGTTCACTCATACCGTCTGTTCACATGGCTGATAATTGGGAAACTTCGTTCTCAGGAGCTTTGAATCTTGGCTCCTTTCATCATCAGGATATTTACACAGCTAAGAAGCCCAGTGTGCGTCCTGAAGCGATAGGAGTTGAGTCAGTATTTACTGTTATTGCAGCTCCTTTCCTCAGAATGTGCAGAAATAATCCTATTTCTGTGAGTTGAAACCATCCTTCTCTCTGTCCAAAAACCCCGGTCTGCTCAAGAGAGGGTTTTTTTAGACATGATGCACACACCCTTTTCCCCATCCATGTTTGTGGCTGGATATTAACCCTAGATCCTTGTTACGCTCCTGTTAACTGTAGTTTTCTTGTATTGAGGGCTTTTTCTCCTAGTTTTATGTCCGATATTTCCCAAGTGTACCTTTCTTGTGTTTGGGGAGGAAACCTTTTCACTGCAGTGGTAGCAAGCATCCTGGTGGCTTAATAAAACCATGATTCTTCTGCTGGAGCTCTGTGGTAATGCTACAGGTTATTACCACATATATACTGAGATCTGCTGAGGAAGATCTTTCTGCTTAATGAGCATCTGTGTGCATTCTAATGTAATGAGCATCTGACTCTTCCTAGTTTTAGTAAATAGTAATTGGAAAAAGTGGGACTGTGTGATATCCATGGTAGTGTTCAGTCATGTTTGATGTACAATAAATAGCTGGGGGGGGGGGGGGAAGGAGGGAAAGCGTTGTAGTTCTTGTAACTTGCTGATGTCTCTTCTCAGAACTGTATTTTCCTAACTTAAGCATGCTGATTTTGTTAAATGGGACCTTAGACAATCTTCTGGTAACTTGTGCAGGACCAAGCTGCAGATCCAATAGGTACATGTTTATAGGAGGTGTGATCACAGCTCCAGTTCAACCGTTACATAAAGGCTTCATGGCATAAATCAGTGTGGTTAGGCTGTCATCTTGTCTCACTTCAGCACAGAAAGCCTCACAGCAATGTGATTCTTCCCCTACTAGAAGATGTGTTCTCAAGACCTTTTGCTGGTGTTTCTGATGGTGTTTTCTAAGAACCACAGTTATGCCAGAGAATTTTGTGGCCTAGGTCTGGTTCTGCGTGTCGTGCAAAACGTCCTTGGGAAAGAAAACAAGAAATCAGTTTCTTTGCTAATGCTGCTGTAGTTTGATACTTTTATCTCTTAATTTAGAGAAGGGCAAACCAAACCTGACAAGTGGATGTATTTTGCAAGTGTGTTTTCCAAGTCTGTGCAGTAGGGTCTGGTTTTGGTTAGTGGCTGCTTTATCCTCTTGTTTTCTTTATGATTTACACTAATTAAATTGCATAATCTCACAGATAGCTCTTAAAGTTACCAGTGAAGCGATGGAGAGAAATAAGCTTCTTGTGGAGACCACCCAGGAGGTGGAGGTATTATGGGAACTTCAGGTCGGAGTAACTGATGCTAGGGTTTGTTCCAGAATTCATTTATCTGTAGCATTAAAGTACTTAAAATCAACACTGCTGGTTCACTTTTGATGGACATGAATATCTCAAGAAAACATCATTCACATGGTGGTATTGTGCTAAGCAAAAGCATCCTGCTATTGCACCGGTGGTTTGCTAAGGTCTGTTAAAGTAAGGATGTATTTGGAGCTGTCTTTAGTATAGAGGGTTTGAAAATAGTTAAGAGACCTGTTTTTAATTGACTGCTCACAGTTCTCTATTTGTGCCCCTCTTTAAAACCAGGATTATTCAGTCTCTGGCTTTGCACTGTGGCTCTGCAGGACCTCTGGTGGCATGTGTCTAAAGAGGAGACAGGGTGCTGAGCTGGGCACATGGGGACAAGGAGATTGAGATGGTAGGAATTCAGTTCCACTCCCGTAGCAAATGTCTCTGGAAGCTCATTAGCTTTTTTGCTGCTGTTCATTACATAATGCATAGATGGTGATTTGTGATGGTAATTATGCAGCCGTGTACAACTCTGATGTTGCTTCCAAAATACTATCCAGTAAAGAGACAAATATTTAGTATTTTAAAAGCATGTTATGAGATTTATAAACCCATAGTGGTGAAACAGTATGGTCCTGTACAGGTAAATGGAAAGATATCTGTAAGTTCTGTTGAATATTGGGTTAGACTCTCATTTTATGGGCTAGGAGGGAGAAATTCGATGTTAGTTCATGAAGTAAGAAAGTTCAACCTAATATAGTGTGTTTTTCCACCACTGTGAGGTTTTAGATTAAAACCATAATAGGATGCTGTCAAGCGAGTCCATTTCAGAATAGTGGCATGTTAGCAACATTGGAGTAAGCCGGTCCATTCTGATTTGGGGTATTTGGGCACCCTTGGGAAGCTCATGATACCTATAGTAAAACTCTTTTGTAACCAGTAGCATGTGGCAGGTGTCTATTACAATTAAACCACAATATAGACATTGAAGGAATTTACTCTCCCATGTGTATCCAGTTCTCTTGAGTGGGAAAAACGGGTTTCAGAGCAGTTGTCTGGCACAGCATTTGATGTTCTTGGCCTTGTAGCTGAGATAAACGTTATCCGATTCAATGGATTTGGTACCTGATGTGTCCTTGTTTTGAAGCCTTTTATATTCATGGACTGCTAGGACTTGGAGCTTACTCCATCCCATGAGTGCTTTGACCTTGGGTGCCAACCTCGCCCTTCTCATCCCCTTGGATTCAGTACCCTACATAGCTAGTACCGAATGCCTGGGGAAGAGGGTGAAAACAGGCCAAGCGTGTTACCTACAGCTCTGCAGGGC